CCAAGTCCATGCCCATGCCCAGAGCGATGTTTAAGTCCAGAACCCTGCCCCTGTCCTCCACCACGCTGGTCTTCAGAACCCTGTTTATATCCGGAACCACGTCCAGCACCAAGTCCAGCGCCACGTCAGGCTCTACCTTCTCGTCCAGTGTGGCATGAGTTCCCAGACCGACATCTACGTGCTCAGCCATGTGATCTCCCAGAACCTCGTCCACTTCCAGAGCCAATTCCCCTTCCAGAGCCCTGCCCAAGTCCAGAGCCGTGTGTGGAGCCTCAGAGCTATCCCAATCCATGCTCAGGCCCTAAGCCAATTCCATGCCCACCAGACCTGGGCTGTCAGGAATCTAGTCCGTTCCGCCTAGACTCTGAGGTGCCCAGCTGTGGTCCAGGTGGTTATAACCAGGGGAGAGAGTGATTGGTGCTCACTGTGGACCCGGTGGGCTGGGTGGAAGCAGAGACCAAGGAGAAGCCTATGTTGGAGTGAAAGGTGGGGCTTATACTGGAGCTAAGAGTGCCTATTTTTGACAGAAACTGGGCTGAGACATCCCTGCCTCCTGCTCTGAAAACATTGCTCTCTTATTGCAGTAGCCAGTTTCCTGACCTATTCTTGTTTGCAGCTCAAAGATATTTAGAGTCTCCCTGCTGCTAAGGTGATGCCCAAATGCCTTTGTGTGTCATCTCAGGATCCACAAGTGGATCTCAGATACCTCTCCAGCTTCACCTCTGACTCCTCCTCTGTATACAGGCTCACTTCTAACCAGACCAGTATGGGTGCCAGGGTGCATCTTGGGTGTTCCCCAGGATATACCTTCGGTGTCCCTGGGTCCCTGCCTCCAAGCCTCTGCTCACTCTTTTTGCCTGCATGGGCTACTTCTCTCCTACTCCCCAGCTTCTGAAATATCATCTTTCAAGGTCTCTTCCTTGAAGCCTTCTCGGCTTGCTGCAGCCCACAGGGCTCTCCCTGTGCCGACTTCCTAGAAGTCTTTGCATTGTCCATACCACCCACTTGGAAACTGCCTTGCAACATCTCTTGAGTTGTTATTTCTCTTTTCAGGTGTGTCTGCCTTACCTCCCCAAATAGATTGTAAACTCCCATTCAAGTGGGGTTGGAATATCCCTAAATTCCTGCTCCATTCCTGGGGCAAGCAGCTGCTCAGCAAAACTTGTGGACTGGCAGCTTGAGCCACGGTCTGTCCTGATAGGCAACTCCAGGAATTGGAGCAAGAGGGCTGCTGTAACAATAAAGATGATGATGTGCTTATAGCCTGAATCCTGAGTAATGCCTGCTCTTCACTTCTCCTTGAGTTTCTGGAATGAATTTTCATGTGTATTCAGTGTTTTTTTATTGGGTTTGTTGTACCCATGGTCTGAGCTTTTTTCTGCTTAGACCAGGTGGGCTGTCTTGTGGTTTTCTTCCCCTCCTCGGTGTCCCTGGCCTCTGTTGGGAAAAGATGGATGAAAAGGCAAGTTAAGGAGGAAGAAAAAGAATGAGGGAACAAGGGAGATAACTTGTGCATCCTAGTCTTGGGGTAATGGTCTTCAGGCCTGGGTTAAGCAGGACACACAGCTCCGGAGCCATCATCATAGCCATGTTATCTTTGTGGCATCAGGAGACGGGGAGAAGGGAGCAGGTGGAGCTATCTGGGCATGTTCCACACAGTCTACACTTTTCTCCCAGAACTAAATTATTTGTTTCCCATTTTTTGATGTAATACAAAAGGGAGCACCGGAGCCCGACTCTGCTGTCCTTGATTGCTTCCAAAGCCCATTAGACATGGGTGGGTTTGGCAGCATGAAGATGGGGGTTGGCAAGGGCAGGAGAGATAGAGATGCCTCTTCCTCCCACTCTCTGCATACAAGGGTGCACCCCCTGGGGGATGAGTGCCCTGGGGAGGAGCTCTTCCCCAGAGGGAGATGTGCGCTAAGACCACAGTGCTCTGCAGAGGGCAGAAGGAGCTCCTTCCAGAAGAACAAGAGAGGGTGCTATGGCCTGGGTCCCTGGATGTCTGATCTGGTGCATGCTTCCTCACAGGCCACAGCCCCAGAGGGCCCCACAGCTCCAGCTCCAGGGCCTGGCTTTGAGTATGCCTTTTTACTTGCCCCATGAATCTAATCCTGCAATGTCAGTGGTGGAGACCCTGGAGATTTCCTAGTAAAGCCCTGTGTGGCATAAAGAAAAATGGAGGCCCTTAATGTAAAATTCATTCAACCGTTTAACAAGTATTCATTGCTACCTGGTGGGCAGGCACTGGTAAAAGTGACATATATAACCTTTGCTCTCAGACAGCTTATAGCCTAGTTAGTATCCTGCTTCTCAGAGTGTGACCAGCAGCAGCCACATCACCTAAGATCTTGTTAGAAATGCACATTCTCAGGCTCCACTCCAGACCTACTGAATCAGAAATTCTGGGAGTGGGACCCAGACATCTGTGTTTTAGCCAGCCCACCAGCTCTTCCTGATCCAGTAACATTTGGTAACCACTACACACACACACACACACACACACACACACACACATCCTCTGATTCCCACACGTGTCCATAATATGGGCATTATTATCCTGCCATTTTGTAGAGTTGGGAGCCCAAGCACACAGAAGTTAAGTGACTAGCCAAAGCCACACAGGCAGACTAGACTCAGCCTACACCCTTTTCTTCACATGGCGCCTTTGAGCTTGGTCACAGTTCCTGACTTTTCCAGAGATCTCTCCTATATTAACCCAATCATTTCCCCAACACCATCTTGGAGTTCCCTCAATTACTGAACAGGTTATTCCTATCAGTTCTACGTTTGCCTCTTTTCTTAAAATCTAGGCTCCTCCAGGCTTGTATCTGCTTTGCAGCCTGTGCCCCAGGGACCTGGCAGGGCCTGAACCGCCCCCATCAAGCATCTGTAGGTTTTCCTCACTCAGAACCCTGGATGAGGGAGAGGCCTGGAAGTCCCAGTGGGAGATTCATGTTAGATCTCTCCCTCATTCTCTCCAAACATGCTATGGACAAGAACCATCCCAAGATACAGGCAGAAGCACAGACCTGGATGTGAGAAAAGGGAATTCACGTCTTAGAAGCTCTATCATCCCCCAAGTTCAAGTGTCAGGTTATCATGTAGGCTCTTTATCGAGATGTACAATATTCCATGCCTTGTGCTTTTTCTTGGGATGAAATCTAGTCAACCAGGCCTGGATATGGAAAAGGATTGGTTGATAGTAGAATAGAAGGGCCTCTTAGTGAGTCAGGTTGGAGCTCAGCCAGGCAATCTCTGGTGGTCTTGTGTTCTCTCACTGACTGGGGCTGCGAAGACCCCAGCCTTGTTGTCATCTCGTCAACCAGAGGATCTCAGGACCTGAAACTATTCTCTCTTAGGGGGACTAGTTTGATTTGGCCTCAAAGGTCCTCAAAAGTCATTTACTTCTGACAGGAAGTCCAGCCCTGAGCCTCCAGGGAGGCCCACAGTGAAGAAGCTGGGCCTTGCCTTGGGTTCAGCTATGAAACCATAGCCAGAGACGAGCACCTCAGAGGAGAGGGGCACCCAGAAGTATGTATGTTTGTGTGTCCTTTCGTAGGTTTTGTGTGTTTCCTTGTGTGTACTTTTGTGTCTCTGTGTTTCTGTCTGTATGGCTTTAAAAGCTTGGGGGTTTTAAAAGGCATTTGGAAATGGGGGCTGCGGCCTCAGAAGCATGGTTTTGTCTATCCTACAATCTTCCAACACTGGCTTGGAGACCCTTTCCAGTCACCTCTTCTATTCCCTGCCCTCCATCATTTTACTGCTGACTTGTCTCCCAGCTCTCAGCTTTTCCTGTTGCTATAAGTCGGAATCGACTTGATGACAATGGGTTTCGGGATTTCGTTAACCATTTGAACAAATTTCATGCCTCCTTAGGACCAGGGCTGAGGATTCTAATTCCAGAGTAAAAGAGGCCATTTACAAACCACTTCAAGGTGCTCAAAGATCTCCCTGAGAGAACTCCTCTCTCTTGGACTTTGAGGTAGTATGCTGGTTGCACATCATTGTTTCCATTTCAGAGTTTGATGGACCATTGCCCAGAGATGTCAATGCATTGGCCAAGTCACACACAGCATAAGGCAGCGATCAGGCCAGACCACAGCTCCTGACTCCTATCCTAACGTTCAGCTATGCTGCTTCAGAAAAGAGGGCATGGCTTCCAGAGATGGTGTGCTAATTAGTCCAAGGAAATGTGGGAGAGACTGGGTCTAAAGACCATGCCTCTCACCTTGGAATCCTGCTTACATTTCTCTGAAATTCTCCATCCTTTCCCTCTTTCTAAACCTTGCTTAACAGACATGCACCCTTCTTTCAAAAGCTTCCTGCTCTGGTTTCTCATTTGCTCTAGGTACTGCTTTATTCTATATCTCCTCAACGTTGCGATCCCTTTGAGACGCAAATATAATGCATGCAATGATAACCAGTCATTTGCTCATTCATTTAGGGGATGATTATTTAGGGAGATTGTATAATATGAAAGAATGAGCATCAGATAGGGCTTTGGGAGACCTGATACTTCAGCAACTTGGCAAGTCACTCCCCACCCTGGGATTAATGTCTTTACTGTAAAATGAGAGAATTGCACTAGATGTTCTCAGAGGATCCGACAAGGTGTATCATCTATTTTTCCTCTGTGTAGTAGGCACTAGGCTAGGGCATTGGTTCCCAAACCTGCTGAAATTACCTGGTGTGTTCACTTAAAGACACAGAATACCAGGATACATCCAAGACCTACTTAATTTGAATTTCTAGAAGGAGAATCTAGAATCACCATTTCTATAAGCAACTAAGTTTATTCTGATTAGCTGGAAGTGGGAACCATTGCTGTAATGAATACAAAGGTGTATGAGGATGTATAGCCCTAATGGAGCTTACTCAATGTCTAGAAGGAAAGTTGAAACATGTACACACCTGTCCATAACACAGGTAGGATTAGGTCATTGTGGGGGAAATGGACCTGACTGATAACTCTATTTTATGCTTATGTGTGTAGAATCAAATTTTCCATTCCTTATTCTGGAAGTACCTCAAGACCAAGGAGTCTTTTCCCTTCTCTGAGTTAAATCTCTCCAAAATACCACTGCCACCAAGAATACCCATAATAGGGCTCTGTGCATGGCTCAGTGAGATGCAGTCTGTCATTTATGTTACAGATATTTTTACCAGGAGAAGGTGGGCCTAGTTATGGCATATCTCTTCTTTACCTAGGCATTACTCAAATATTAAGAGGAAGAAATTCCACATCCCGTAGTTTGTCCTACAGACTACAATAGTCTTGGATGCATCAGCAAATAGAACTGTTATGCATAAGAGAATAGCTCAGTTGTTTGTAATGGAATAGATAGGTAGATAGTAGTAATCCAAAGACAGGCAGTGCCCATGTGGATACTCTGTGGATGTATAAGAGAATA